ATGGTGTACAATTCACGGCCTCCCGAAAGTTCCTGACCATCACGCCGATTGTGCTGTGAGTGCCCAGGGTGTGGGGTTGGTGCTTAATGTTATCTTAGGCGGAGCCAGGATAGCTCTTCTGAATAGAAGGACCTGGCATGACATACTTCTTTTCCCTCCTGCTGTTTTAACTCTGTAATGGGCCTTGGGAGAGAGAGGTAGGGAGCCTTTTTTTTGAAAGATCAAGGGGACAGACTCTTCCCCCTGGAGTAGGGCTCTTTTATTTTCTGTACCTTGACCATTAACCTCTTGTGAGATTGACTCATGGGCCAAGAGGAGGTAAGAAGATGATGTATACAAGGGGCAGCGTACCTTGAGGGACCTTCCCCTCCATCCTCATTAACAATTCAGAAATCCAGTCGGGGAGTGAGGGACACTCTCATGTGAGGACCTGATACCTCTCATTCTTCTTCCCAATCAGGTATTTCCTAACCAGCTTCTATACCAAGTACGACCAGCTCCACTTCATCCTCAACACAGTGTCTCTGATGAGTGTGCTGATCCCCAAGCTGCCTCAGCTCCATGGCGTCCGGATTTTTGGGATTAATAAGTACTGAGGCCCAGCCCCCTCCTTGCCCTGCCCTCGGGAAATCTGAGGAGATGAAGATGAAGGGGGCCTCCATGCAGGTGCCCAGAGACTGATGTTGAGCCTGTGGGCCTAGTTAAAGCTCTCCCTTCCCCTTACTTCCCCCACCCCTCCCCCCAGTAGTCAAAATGGAGTAGCCTTTAGTGGGGTTAGAGAGGGGGGTTCTCCCCTGTTCCCCCCTCCCTCTCAGTGGCTTTGTCCCCTTTTTGATTTTTCCCATTTGGATAGAGAATAAATGTGGGAGGGGTTATGTGGTACTTAAGTGGGCCCAGCTACTTGGGCTGAGGAGGGACAGAGGATGTTGGGAAACCCCATGCATTCACTGTAACTCTGGCCAATGCACTTCAACCCCCCCCCCCCAGGTAGGGGGGCAGAGGAAATGGTACAGCCTATAGATCATATTTCACTTTAATTC